GGGGGCCGGGGAGCTGCCGCGGGGTCTGGGGCGGGGCGGGGCGCGGCTTGCAGGCAGCAGATGGTGGATGGTCAACTTGCGGAGAAGGGGCTGGGGGGGGCCGCGTGTCTGCCCCTGCCCGGGTGCGAAGAGCGGTGGAGTGCCTCATCTCGGTCCCGGTCGAGGACGGGAGGAAGGGCCGGGGGTACGCGAGGGCGGGAGGCTTTGAGCGCGGCGTGGAGCGAAAGGTCGGGGGGGTTCTCCCTCCCGGCCGGTGAGTACGAGGTATTTGAAACACCCGTTCCGCAAGATGTTCCCCCTCTCTGGGGTTCGGGAGTGCATCGAGTGGGTCGCCCAGGGACGGAAAGAGCGCTTTTAAAGTTAGCTTTGCCTCTTGCTGGGGATTTTTCTAGCACTAACTTTGGTATGCATTTAATCTAGAAAATGAACGCTATCGCCTTTCCTTCGAGTAGCACTTTACAGTTTGAGTCTGGATGCTCTTTTCATTCCATCCTGCCACCTTTTCACATCAAGTGTTTTCATTCTAGGCCAGCGGTATGCCAATCTGCTGATAATTACGTCGGTATCTACTGAATTCCTAAATTGCAAGGCTCTCTGAGCAGGAGGATAGTCTGTGGGGATTAGTTCGGGAATGCTTTCCAAAGGGGATTTTGAACTGGAATTTGAAGGTGATCGGCAGCCACGGGAACATTTTCAGCGAGCATTTCATGAATTGAAGAGCCAGAAGGAGCTTAGATAATCTAGTCTGTTTCTCCAAGAAGACAGAGGCTCAGAAAGGTTATGACTTAGCCAAGCTCTGCTTTTATGATGAAATTTTAAAGCCTTTTTTACAGAGTAACTTTTAGGCGTATAGAATACAAAAGAGAGGACATTGGCTGGGCCCTGAAAACATCTGAAATAGAGTTGGGAAGACCAAAACACATAAAAGAGTAGGAGAAAAGTAAAAGCATATCAGCTTCAAAAAAATGGAATATCATTGAATGTGTACTTAGGGAGAATGCAAAATCAAGGAGTGATTTTAAGTGATAGAGTAAAGCTCCCCGCAGCCTGTGGTAGAATGGTTTTTATTATCTGGAATTGATAAGCAAAGTTCTGTAAGTTGCTGAAACTGAGATTATTCCTTCCAGAATATCTACATTCATTTTTAACATCATTTTACAGTGTTGTTTGCAACTTAACTCATGTATCGGGAGAGGCACTAGTTTCAGAACCCATTCGGTTTAATAAGAATAGAAATGTAATGATAGCAATTTAAGCAATATGCTCTGCCCTGTGTCCTCTGTGGAACTGCCATAGCAAATTGAAGTGACATCGTTGAACTGAGAGATAAGATGACTCAAAATGTATAGAGGTTTTCCCTTAGCAGTGTAGTGGCGGTAGTGGTTCCATGCCCAATAGTTGAACCTTCTCGTGGCATTTCTGTAATACATTTACTTTGGGCTTGTGGGAGTTGAGGTTAAGAAAAGAAAAACACTTGTGATATTGCATAATCTTAAAATTCAGTTTGTGGTCCTAATCTTGGTAGTTAAGTCTTTTAATTTTTTTATCATAAGAAAACATGAGTAGGGATTTTAGGTGCACTGATTAATACAGTCAAATAGTAATTTATCTCTCAGACTAGGAAACCTTGAGCACTTGGGGACTGGAATTGCAGGCTTTCTGCCCTTCTCTTCTGTCATCTGATCTGTGAATATTTCCCATACTTATGTCTAAACTACATGTTATATATTTGACCTGCCATACTGCGCTTTTAGTGAACCATGTTTTGTAAGAGAATCAAGGCAGTCTGAGAACCTGCACCGAATGAAGTGTGGTCCCACTGTTCTAGCTGTTGATAAATAGGCTCAGTATACGTACTGTTTCTAGGGTGTCTGTGATACCTCACGTTCGAAATATATATTGTTGATACATTTATTTTTAGTGGATTAAATGAAACACTTGTCATCTTAACCATTTGAAATACTTGGTCAGATGTTTGAAACAGTATTTCCCTTTTCACTGCTTTAATGATATCACAAGCTTTTTACAAAACTGGTGGCTAAGAGATCGTAACCACAGCTAGGTGATGTGCAGATTCACATTTCAGGATCTCTTTTTCTTCTGTAGAGAAAACAGTAGTATGAACTTTATTATCTTTGCTCGTGGAAGGGGAGATGGTACAAATAATCAAAGTAATGGATAATGCAAAAGTAACTATAGTTAAATTGTGATACCAGCTACCATGTCACTTTTCTTTGGTAACTGATTTATCTTGTTTCTCTTGAGTCGGGAGTTCTTAATCAATCATCAAGGTGGTGTCCTTTAATAACCTTGTAACAGTCTTTGAGCTGTACGTTTCCTAATTATTTTTCCTGGGCAAACAGGATATTCAAATTAAGTTTGCATTTCTACAGTGTACCCACATCTTGGGAGAAGGGTGTCCATACGCATTCTGGGTGGCCAGGACAAACTAGACCAGCCTAAAAAAAGTTGTAAATGGTTTTACATAGTGAAGAATTGTTGATTGGGTCTTAATTTGATCTCTCTCTTCCTGTTTTTCTTGATGTAGTGAAAAGTTCTCTTCATCCTCTTGTTGTGCTACAAGAAGCATAACAATTTCTCTTGTTGTTTTTCTGCTAAGATTTGCTAAAGGGCACATCTACGGTGAAGCCATACAGTTTTCCATTGTTTCTGTCATAACATTTAAGCAAGAGAAAAAAAATGCTGAGCAAAGACTTTTCATCCAGAAGCTTTAGCAAAAGCATTGAAGGCCAGAATGCTCAGTTATTAGATGTTGCTCCTGTTTGTGTGTCCAGGGAAGTGATGAACCCCGGGATGCATCAGAAAGCCCTCAGAACTTGATGATGTGATACCAGAATAAGGAAAATGGAGGAGAAACTATGACTTTTGATAACATCATAAGACTAACTCTGATAGGAAGGGTGTTCCCGAGTTTTTATTTACTTTGAAACGTGAAGGTGTGACTAAACTTCTTGGGGGATTTAGGTATGAGTCACCTTATTTTCTTGACAAATGTTAGTGTTTGTAATTCAGGAATGTGTTTTGGAATCTTTTGATTATTTATTAGAGGTAAGAGGTGGGTTTAGTGAGTTTTAATTTTAATTTAAAACTGGTGAGTTGTGTGGATATAAGCAAGGCAGATGGACTTAGATACAGCAAAAGCAGTGAGTCCAGATGTCCCGGAGGGTCCTTGGGAAAATGAATTGACATTTGTAACCTGCTCAGGTTATTCTGATAGGGACTTTCCCTGCATGATGCTTAAGGCTGTCTTAGTGGTACATTAGTATTTCTTGCTAATAATAGATATTTAGAGGGAAAATGAGTTTAGTGGTCAAACACACATGGCAAACATTTGTTTAAAAATTCTTTTTAAAAAATCCACCGCAGGACTTAACCAAGCCTTTGATATCTGGTCCCCACAGTGATTCCTAGGCGTGTGGTTATAGTTATGTAGCATTTCCCAAACTTATGTGACTGGGACGCTTTTTGAGGAAGGCTGATTAACCTGTCTGAGGTTTCTGCATTTGAGGAAATGCCATGCTAGTCCCACGGTAAGTCACAGATCCTGTTTGTTATGGGCTAGGTGAAGCCAGTCCCTAGTGTCGAGTAAGAGCCACTTTAATAATTCGGCATTTGGGCCGGCTCCGTGGCTTAGTGGTTGGGTGCGTGCGCTCTGATGCTGGCGGCCCAGGTTCAGATCCCGGGCGCGCCCCAAGGCACCACCTCTCTGTCCAACGCGAGGCCGAGTCCCACGTACAGCAACTAGAAGGATGTGAACCTATGACATACAACTATCTACTGGGGCTTTGGGGGGAAAAAAATGAATAAATAAAATCTTTAAAAAAAAATAATAATAATAATAATTCGGCATTTGGAGAGCAGAGATGTGATTCTAGAGTAGTAAGGCGGACCTGAGAATCAGAATTGTGATGATAAATATTGGCCATGATGGAGGTGCTATCATCTCTGTTTATGTGATCCTTTAATACCTCACTGAAGTAATTATTCCCTTTACCCACTAATTGGTGAGCTTCTCTGCAGGCCCGAGCCTTTCAGTCTCTAGGGCCTAGCACTGTGCCAAGCACATAAACACTCCTTGTGTTAATTGGGTGGTTGGAGGACATATATTTGATGTATTGATAAAGCTGCTTTTTTCAGCACTAACACAGAGAAGATGCTTCTCATCTCTAGACCTATTTCTTATATGGTGTACTTCCATTTTCATCGTATCCTAATACCAAGAAGCTCAAAGTCCTTTTTGTATATGTTGCTGTTCTTTCTTGCCATTTCCTGTGAAATCGTAATTGCCTTTATGGGGGAGGAAACTTAGATGCTTTTTGCTAACGGTCAAAATCAGATCTTGGGCACGTCTGCATTCCCCCGCGATGCACTGAGTGAGGAGAGTGCTGCTGTCAGGATCCGAGCCCCAGGCAGGGTTTGAGCTGAGTCACTCGGCAGGACAGTCCCCAGTGAGGCGCGGGGACCCCAGGGGTGGAGTTGAGGCTGCGTCTCTTGAAGGGAGTGCCCTCCAGAGATGCAGCAGTGAGAAGGCACGTTCCTGTGCCTTTCTTAGGCTCTTTTATCTCCAGATAAATGAGCTTTCTCACAACGGACTGTGTCACTGGAACTTTCTTCTTTATTAAGGGAAATACTGTGCCTGCTAACTTTTCTATGGCATGCATTTTAAAATGGGGCCCTGTTACTTTTGTTTTTTAATTAATACGTTTATTATATTTATAGTTTGGAGCTGAATTTCGTCGGTTTTCACTGGAAAGATCAAAACCTGGAAAATTTGAGGAGTTCTATGGATTACTGCAGCATGTTCATAAGATACCCAATGTTGACGTTTTAGTAGGCTATGCCGACATCCATGGAGACTTACTGCCTATAAATAACGATGATAATTACCACAAAGCTGTTTCAACGGCCAATCCACTGCTGAGGATTTTTATACAAAAAAAGGGTAAGTACCACTGTTTAGGAAAATTGTTTTAGAAACAGAAGTAGTTTATTTTCCTCATTGATGGAATACACAGACTTTGCCACAAACTTAATGAATAGACGCTTTGTGTGAGTCTTCTTACCATATCGTCTAACAAATGGATTAAAACATTTGTGATATTGTTGGTTTTATTAATATCTTTATATGTCACTAACTGTATTTTAGAAAAATTCGTGTTTTTAATTACTTTAATTGTAACCTCTTAGATTTTTTTTAATAGAAATTAGGAATTTAGTGCATCTTCACTTCATTGAATGGAATTTTGTCCATTCAGAAAGATATGGTAGAAAGAGTATGACTTTGGAGTCAGAGAAACATTCTAGTTTTTTGGTGGCAACCAACTTTCCAGTGCTGTGTACTATTTAATAGGTATCTGAAGGAAAGTCCTTCATCCTTCGTGGGTCTCAGTGTCTTTGTCTGTAGGGTGAACATATTATCTCATAGGATTACTGGGAAAATTAAATGAACTAAGTGCAGTGTCCCAGCACACAGTAGGCATCCAGCTAATGTTTTCTTTCCTTTCTCTGTTAGGCTGTTTTTCAGAGGAATAAAAACTAGTTAATTGTCTAGAAAATTAGATAGCAAGTCATTATTTTGGAGGAATGTAAACATTGATATTAGTCTTGCAAAAGAACATTTGAAATAACCACTCTATATGGCAAGCATTTTCAAATGTATTTTGAGTCCTAAAATTTATTTATTTATTTTTTTAACTTTGTGGGCTCCTCCGTGTGTGTGTCTGTCTGTCTGTCTATCTGTGGGTCTATGTGGCTCTCTCTGTCTGCACATGGACATAGTGTGTGCCCTTTATTCCTTTGTCTTTGGTGAGTGAAGAGTTTGGAAAGCCGAGTGAGAGCAGCGAGCCCGCTTTGGGTGGGATGAGTAAAGCCTTGCTGTGTTTGTAAACCAGCCCAGACTGTAGTCTGAGAGAATGGGTAAGGATTACCCTCGAAGGTGAAACTTGATTTCCAATCAGTTGATAAGCATTGGACCACTCCCAGCGCTTTGAAATGCCATTGATGATGTATCTTTGCTTTTCTGGGTTTGGAGGAATTAAAGTCCACCCACAAAATAAACCTCCAAGGGTAACTTATATCTGTGTATAGCACTTGACTATTTACAAAATACTTAGAAACGCACAAATTAAATTTTCCCAAAGACTCCTGAGATGGATTTCATAGATGTGTAACAGGAGTGTGGTACAATTAGGGTCTTACTTTGGGAAGATTAATTTGGCTGTGCAGGATGAACTGGAGTGAGCAGCAGTCTTAGAGGAGAGAGCAAGGTGGTGAAGAGACGGCCAGGAAGCCACCCCAGTAGAGGAGGTGGGTGAGGAGAGTAGCAGTGGACGATAAAGGGGGTATTGGAGAGTCCCTGGGCTCCCTGCTGGATGGTGTAGAGTTGAAGAGGAGTCCAGCAGAGAATGGCTTTCTGGGTTGGAGCCTGATGGCTGGGGCAGTGCCGTATACAAGCAGAATTTGGAAGAGAGATTGACTTGGAAAGAAAATTGGTTTGGTTTTAGGACAGAAAACCTTATCTGGCAGGTGCCTTTCAACCATGCCATGTAGAAAATTGGAAGTGGGAGACTCGAGCTCAGGGTAGAAATGCAGAGGCTGGTCAGAGAGAGGTGAAAGGCTGCAGAAAAATGAGAGTTGGAATTTTCAGGAGTAGACCTGAGGACTAGCTGAGGTGAAGACCAGGGATAGACCTCTGGAAAGCTATGGATAGAATGTTGGAGAAGAAAGAGCAGCAGTGGAGGAGAGAAGGACAAAACATTTGAGTGGAACTTGTCATTTTAAGCAGAATAATTTAAATAATTATCGTTAAATAGTAGGCCTTTTTGATGTTAGCAGTTGTAATTTTCTTAAAAATTTAGTTGCTCTTTGGAATGTGTATTCAAATGTAGAATGACTACTTTTTTAGACTACTGCCATCTGACAAAATTTTGTTGGATTATCCTCTTTGTTAGAAAGATTTAGGAGGTGGATTATGCCACCACGAGTTTTTGTCACTGGAATTGTAACGCTTACATGATCATGGGGTTAATCCTAACATCTTCTAAGGATGGTTATCTCCTGCTGTTTCCTTTTCAGACGTGTTTATATGTGAACAGAAGTTCTCTTTGTCATAGAGGGAAACATCGAATGCAATTAATAGCCCTTAGAGGGCTGGCCCCGTGGCTTAGCGGTTAAGTGCGTGCGCTCGCTGTTGGCGGCCCGGGTTCGCATCCGGGGCACGCACCGACGCACCGCTTCTCTGGCCATGCTGAGGCCCACATACAGCAACTAGAAGGATGTGCAGCTATGACATACAACTATCTAGTGGGGCTTTGGGGGAAAAAACAAATAAATAAAAATTATTTAAAAAAAAAATAGCCCTTAGAATTTGATTTAGAAATAGGCAGTCCATTCAACTTTTTAAACTTTTGTTTTCAAAAATATAAACTTAATGTAAATATGACTTAAGCAAAAAATGAAAGTAAGTTTTGGTCAAGTCATTCCTGCTTAAAACCTTCCAGTGGCTTCCATCGCATCCAGAATAAAACCCTTCCTGACTGGCCTTCACAACCTCCTCTTCCTGCATTCCCTGCTCCCTCCACAGCCAGCCTCGGTGGCTTCCTTTCTGTCCCTCCGGCTTGGTGAGCTTGCTCTGTCTCTGGGCTTTTGGACTTGCTTTTTCTTCTGTTAAGAGCGCCTTGCCCCCGGCTCTGCGGTGGCTGCCTCCTCATCCCCCAGATCTTAGCTCACGTAACTTCCGCAGAGGGGGTTTTCTGACCAGCTGAGCGAAAGCCCCCCACCCGCCCGCCCTTACCAGATTACCCTCCGAGGACCTGGAATTACCTGATTTAAGTACAAACTGACTTGTTGTCTGTCTTACGGACAGTGCCCAGTGATTCATGCTGATAGTTTTTTTCTTTTAAACAAAACTCAACTGATGCTTAAGTAGAAAGTTGATTTTATGTAAACTTTAATGGACATTAAATTCGGGAAACTAATATAAAGCATGACATTAAATATAGTTACATTTTACTACTTAATTGCAACACATTTTCTGTTTTCTTGGCTTGTTGATTCCGATTTAGGAATCAGCAGGGCAGCAATTACGCTAGACATGGTACTGATTTTTAAAAAACAAATTTCAAAACCATTTTAAATTTTAAAACCATGTCATCTTTTACAATCTGATACACTCTGCTAAATAAAGTTTCTTTGAAGTGAAAGCTTACAGTTGAATGCATAAACTACTTTATAGCCCAAACTCAAAGGTAGTGTTGTTGCATGTCTTGAAAAGTTTTGTTTTATAATAATTATTGTTAGAAGAAAAACCCTATACTCTATTTCTAGGGCTGTTATCATGGAAGTAAAAACAAAACTAAAAACCTGATATCTTAGAAGTTATTTTCAGAGAGAGGATTCCCAGGTCTTGTGCCAACACCCATACCCTCTTGGGGTCTAGCATATCCTCATTTATTTGGGGGAAGGAGAGGAGAAGGTCCGGAGGAGAGTTTTCCTTCTCTTGTTGTATAGGTTATTATTTGCAGTAAACAATTTTAGAAAATATTTAAAGGTTGTACCTTTAAAAAATACTCAGGTCATTCCTGCAGGCTTGGAGTACAGCCAGGGGAATGTGTATTTTTTAAAAGCTTCCCCGTTTGCATGGTGATCAGCAAAGTCTGGGGTCGGTTGATGTGCACAGGCTCCTCGCCAGATCTGAGCAGAATATCTACGCCACGGCTTCTTGCTGTCTCACCATCTGTTTTGTATGACATCAGACAGATACGTCTGCATCTTGCATTTATTCAGAGGAGTTTGCTGGAAACACTGGAAGGGCCTTGCTTTAAACAGTGTCTCGCTTAGGACCTGGCCTGGTGGCCTGGACGCCTGTAACTGGGCAGGCACCTACCTCGTCTCTTAGAACTTCACTGTGCAGGGGACATTATTTGTAGATGTATTTTAAGGTTATATTTTAGTGAATCAGGGTTTAATTTCTAAGGGATATACATTTTATTAGTACATTGTAAAAAATAGTTTAACAAAAGGTTATGGCCCTAGAAATTAAAAATTAATAAAAAGAAATTGTGGAGTAACATCTGAGAATATGACACCAGTTGATCATGATGGAAACCTGGTTGTCACCAACCAGGTGACACATACCTATTTTTAGTCACCAAGCCTGTGAACACTATGTTCTAATTATTTTTCAAATTTATTTCCTTTGTCTCCACTGCCTGTGCTCCAGGCCGGTACCATCCTAAATTACTACATAGCCTCCTGTCTTCCCCTCAGGTCCTTTCTCCAGCTGCAGCCAGAGTGAGCTTTATAGAAAAACCAAAATCCTTGGTTTTCTTCCCATTGCCTTAGGCTGAAGTCCATAATCCTTAATGCTTCCCCGGAGGCCTTGTTTGTCTGCAGGACCCCTGGCTGCCTCTGACTTGGCTCTTGACTCCTCCTCCTCCCTCCCCGCCTACCCTTCGTTTTCACCAATTGAACATCGTCTGCCCCATTCTGCTCTTCTCTGTATTTGTTGTATCCTGTGCCTGGAATGTTCTTCCTTCCCTTCTTCCTGATTAGCTGCTGGCTTCTTTTCCAGTCTCAATGCAAACCTTACTTCCCTGGAGAAGCCTTGCCTTACCCTGCAAACCAGGCTGGGTTCCCATTTACATACTCCCACAGCACTGTATCCCCCCCAGTTCTTGGCACCTGTGTAATAATTTAATTGTTTGAAATTATTTGTTAATTGCCATCTCCTTTTTTAGACTATAAGCACCATGAAAGCAAGTACCTTACCTGTTTTGTTCACTGAATCTGCAGCACAGAGCACAGTGCCTGGCCACGTAGTAGATGGTCCATAAATAGTGATTGATTTTTGTTATATTAGGGAGTGAAGGGGTCTGCAAAATTTGAATATTGCTTTAAGTGATTTTTAGTCCTTTTAGAGTTGCCAGATCTATTTCATTTAATCATTTTGGCTTAGAACAAGGGTTGGCAAACTAAGGCTTGCTGGCTGTTTTTGTAAATAAAGTTTTCTTGGAGCCCGGCCATATGCATTCCTTTCTGTGTGGCCTATGGCTGCTTCTGCAGCAGAGACTGTGTGACCTTCGAGGCCTAAAATATTGACTGTACAACTCTTTGTGGAGGAGGCTTGTCAACCCTGGATCAGAACGATTTCAAGCATTATTCCATTCTTCCCTGTCTTCCTACTGAACTTTGATTGGGTCATAATCTTAAACTTTCTTGATGACTCTGCCGTGAACTGTTACTGTACAGGGATGCTAATGGGGTTTGTATAAAGCTCTTTTTTTTTTTTTTTTCCAGATTTGCTTTTTATTCATTGTAGGCTTTTGTTTCTTGTATCTGTGCCTGCCTCTCCCTGGTGGACCCGTACCCCCTACTCTGAATCTGTGAGTTAAGACACTCTCTGAACTAAGGGATGACATAACCAGGCTTTTCAGAATCACTGTTTAAAGAGTAGGAGGTTCGGGGCGGTGGGGGGGGCCTTCAGGGCCCCGCTGTGAGTAAGGCAGAGGAGCTTTGTGTGTGTAAGGAAGTGGCACATCCAGTTTGGCTGCTCGGGGGCGTTCTGGATGGATCCCTGTCCGTTCCAGTTAGCTGAGGTTGTGGGCTGAGGGGCAGGCTGAGGTAAGTGAGGTACTGCTGGGTGAGCCTGTATCACGTACTGTTTATGCAAGTGGAAGGTTGCTGTGAACCAGGTTTCCAAACTTTCCATCTCATTCTGAATTCAGTGCTTTGGTACATTCTCAGGTAGAAAGTCACCTCCCGTTCCCGGTGGACATTCACCTTTACACTTCAAACTAGCACCCTGCACCCTGGCTTTCTGCCAACATATTTCTTTTCCCAGTGGCTGGAAACTGATTAGCTAGATGGGAGAACAAAGGTGCCTTTGTGCTGGGGCATATTGCTTTTGAGAATTTAGCAGAGAGCATTCAAATGGAGTCTGGATGCGATGCCAAATTATGCAGATTTGGGGGTTTTTTGGTCAGGTTTCCCATGAATAGGTATGTAGGCAACTTGATTCTGTTCTCAGTTTGTATGGTCTGGAATTTCCCTTATAAATATTTTGTAGGCTTTCTTAATTGATTGTTTTAAAATGAAAGTATATAATTTTGAGAAAACACATTCAGCAGAAGACTATTGTTGATAGATTTTTGGCCAGATTTTGCCAAAAAGATTCTTGTGTCAATAGCTTTATTTCCAAAGCCAAATGATAAATTTCTGTCTCTGTAAGAACACAGTGTAATATTTATCTGTAAATGAGGACAAAATTAACCCTGGGGAAAAAAATGCAAAAAATAAGATACCCTTAGTCTTGTACATTTATCTGAGACTAGCTTTTGAAGAATGTTCAAGCAGCATGAGTAAAGAATACTGAAGTTCTCTGTGCTGTGACACAAGTTGACACTTAACATTCATTATGTGACTGTGTAAGCTGTTGGCCTAGTCAGAAGACCTGGGTCCAGTCTTTTCTGTGTCGGTTACTGTGTACCCTTAATTTCCTGGTCTGTGGGGTAAAGATGATAATACTCTTATCAGTAGGGAGAGTTCGAGTCGAGGGGAGAACACGAACTGAGCCCTGCGCCAACGCAGTGCGGTGACGTCACTGTGATCTGTAGCAGTAGCTGAGACCAGGATTCTGAACTAGGTCTTCTTTTTGAGGGGGGACGATCTTTAGTCACTTTTATTGTTACTAAATACTTTTTTTATCCTTGAAGATTCTGACATTTTAGTTTATTCCCATTCCAGTTATTTTTGAAACATGATTTCAACTTTTGTGCCTGCTGTTGATTTCATTTCCTTTTCTACCTCATTCCCTGATGAGATGTTTTGTTTGTTAGGCTATCTTCCCTCAGCAGTGGGATTTAAGAATATCTAGTTTTAGGTGCCCTGTTTTCCCTTGGTTTACATCAGAGTTTGAGAATGAATTCAACCCCTAGATGTTTATTTGGCTCAAACAGGTTTTTGTTCTTGTTATTTAATTGGGTGTCAGCATTTAAAACTGGGAAGATTTTTACCTAAAAAACAAGACTCTGTGGCAAATGGGCTTTGGCCACACAAATTCCTGCAGTCTGTGGAGAGGAGCTGCCTGAAGGAGGAGCTGCTGTGGCCTGCAGTGGGGCGGGAGCTCCCGGTTTGCCAGAGTCCTCACCCACCATGTGTCTGTGTCGTTCTGAGACAGACTGTCATTGCACTTGATGGTTTCACACAGTGAAGAAAAAAGTTAAAAATCTTATGCATCAGCCTCTTTCCAAGTGGGAAAGGGAAAGATTAAGAACTCCCTTGGAAAAGTGAGGGGGAGACTGGTTATTTGCAGAAGACCAAAATTCCTGTGTTTGATATGCATTTGTTTAATTATATTGTCATTTAATGCATATTATCTGCTTCATTTAATCCCATTATCTGCCCAGCCCTTAATACAGGTATCTGAGCTTGTTCTCTTGATTTACCTGGCAATCAGAAGTGTCCCATTTCATGCGAGTTGAATGTGCTAAACATGCAAATTGGAGGTTTTTTAAACAAATGAAGGAAAAATACATTTTAAGTACCTTGTTTAAAATGATGTTTAAGAATGTGTTTGTAAGACTCAGAATTTCATTTGCCATACTTAATGTTGTTCAACAGTCATTGAGCTCTATCAACGTAACATCGACACTTGGTAATTTTATGATGTGGACTTGAGAGGGCCACCTCGTGGTTTTTTCTGGTATAGCATATCTTACTGCACTGCATTTTGATCTGGTGAGAATAAGCTAATATTTAACTAGTTTGTTTATGTACCAAATACATTGATTATCCTTTCTGTACAGATTCAGCTGTAGATAAATGGGTGTTTTTAAAACAATTTTATAATGTTGTAAAATTCTATAAATGTTTTTACAACATTTCTATTTTATTTTATTTTTAAACAGAAGAAGCAGACTACAGTGCCTTTGGTACCGACACATTAATAAAGAAGAAGAATGTTTTAACCAATGTATTGCGTCCTGACAACCATAGAAAAAAGCCACATATAGTCATCAGTATGCCTCAGGACTTCAGACCTGTGTCTTCCATTATAGACGTGGACATTCTCCCAGAAACGCATCGTAGGGTTCGTCTTTACAAATACGGCACTGAGAAACCCCTAGGATTCTACATCCGGGATGGCTCCAGTGTCAGAGTAACACCACATGGCTTAGAGAAGGTCCCAGGGATCTTTATATCCAGACTTGTCCCAGGAGGTCTGGCTCAAAGCACAGGACTATTAGCTGTTAATGATGAAGTTTTAGAAGTTAATGGCATAGAAGTTTCTGGGAAGAGTCTTGATCAAGTAACAGACATGATGATTGCAAACAGCCGCAACCTCATCATAACAGTGAGACCAGCAAACCAGAGGAATAATGTTGTTAGGAACAGTCGGACTTCCGGCAGCTCTGGCCAGTCTACTGATAACAGCCTCCTTGGCTATCCACAGCAGATCGAACCAAGCTTTGAGCCAGAGGATGAAGACAGTGATGAAGACGACATCATTATTGAAGATAATGGGGTGCCACAGCAGATTCCTAAAGCTGTTCCTAATACTGAGAGCCTAGAATCATTAACACAGATAGAACTCAATTTTGAGTCTGGACAGAATGGTTTTATTCCTTCTAATGAAGCGAGCTTAGCACCCACGGCAAGTGGCACAAATACAGAATTTGAAACTCGTGCTCCAGATCAAAAGCTCTTAGAGGAAGATGGAACAATTATAACACTATGAAACCATTGTTTCAATGTTTTCCGAGTGAGGATGCCATGGGGACTTGTAAATTTGGCTACTTTAAAGCATATATATACCTCTGAACCAGTGACCTGGAATAGGCATGAGAAAAATAATATTGCAAGCTTAAAGTGTTATTAAAATAGCAGTTTGATAGTTGTTAATATAAACTTTGGTGGGTCAGAGATGAATTTAAGTCTAAAACAAAGGGGCCTTCGCTAATGAAATGCCGCGCTTTTGCTCTCGTCTCTGTTGAGAACTGGCTGTTGGAGCACGTTCTCAGAACCGTGTGAGAGGACCAGATCATTTCCATTGAAGTGGTTGCATATTTACCCTGCTATGCAGAGCCCAGGTAATTTTTCCTTTAACTCTTTTTAAAAATTCTAATGTGAAGAAGTCTGCTTCTGTCTTTTGGTACCTTGGGGACCTCAGCTCCTATGTTCCCTGTATTTTATTTTGATTTTTTTAATGTTCCTCTGTTGCTAATTGTAACAAGTAATTTTTTCAAATGCTCTTTTCTCTGATTCCTAAAAAACCAAACCAGTGGACTGTTTTTAGGAGCTGCGTCCTATGTTGTTAAGCGTTGAAGCTGCTCCTGAATTAACAAACTCGATGACAGTTGTTCAGGTTCTTGTTTGTCCATCTTCCAGCTTTCGTATTTGCAGACTCATTCCACGTGCGTATAACTTAGTTGTAGAAGGCAATCCCATCGACTCGGGTAACGTGGAGAGTCTCCCCAACCTCTTCTCGTCTTCATTCCCAGTCTCATTGGACATCATTCCTTTTGTTTGTGTGTGCGTTTTGTTGGTGTGCTTTTATACTCTTTCAGTGTATTCAAGTAGAGCAAATCATTTTGGATGAAAAATGCACCCAAATTAAGAGATTTTTACACAGGACAAACTTGTGCACTTTTTATGTGAAAAATTTGAGTTTTCCTTAATGGGATTTCTAGGAACACTGTCTACACTTTATGAAAAATACGTAGTATTCACCTTTGACAGGTAGAGTTTATCGCTATTAATTTTAAGAGGCTATTTATTACTTTCCAATGCATCCACTTAGAACAAGTAGAGAGGAAGGCTGCTAGCTTTCATTCCTCGCCTGGTTTCACTGTATGACGTGCACAAGCGCACAGTATGCTTGTATATAGAAACTAAGAAGAGTATGGATACGTAAGTTCCCTGTGGCTTATGGGTATTTCTCTCAGAGTTATTTATTGATGAATTTTATGGTAGGCCTAGTATGGATACCTTCATAACAATGTGTGCTATTAAAACAATGAAGAATCAAATGACTCCGTTTTGAAGGATATTTTCTCTATATGGTAAAAATATATGAAGCGGTAAAGTCAATTAAGTGAAGATCACTCGACTCAGAATACTTAAATGTATTTTGTGCACATTACCACTGAACATATTATCACTAAACTATTAACTGCACATTACTATGTAATACATTGTACTTTTTGTTGAATTCACCCAAGTTCTTCCACTTATATACCACTATTTTTTAATGGCATTCCAGCTTTAACATTCTGTGAGTTTTATAAATTTGACTCTTGAATGGCAAAATAATGTTAATATGTAGAAGGTTAAATTGCATTTATATTATAAGCGGTGCAGGGGTTCAACATTTTAAGTAAAAATACTTTCACACACTACCTCTCTCTCTCTTTTTAACAAAGTTTTAACATCAGAACTTTTCTCTTGGGGGAAAAAATACTTCAGGGCTTGATTTTTTTGTACAAATTTTAACTGTAAAATGCAGATTTGTGTTGTATGTATTCATGAAAATGGAAATCAGAGCTGCTAGTGCTTTTTATTTTAATTCTCCTGCTAAGGGTATACGTCAATGGTGTTTTCAATTAGATCTCTCATTTAAATTATTGGCAAAATAATTGATTACTAGATGTATTGTAAAACCAGTAGAGCTTGGTTATACAATAAAATGTCAGTTCCTGGGTAGTCTGAATCAGTTATTTCAAGTGTACCTTATTAACAAAAATATCAGTGGATTCAGCACCAAATTTTGTAGTACTAAATGTCAGGCCTAACTGTGAATTTTGTTCTGTATCTTAAGTAAATTTATGATAATGTTCTCATGAGCTATCAACAAAATATATATACTTTTGTGAACTATGAATTTTCTAATTAAATTTTCCATGCGACAACATGATTTTTACATGAATGATACTTTGTTTAACTATCGAATGTCAGTATTTTACTACAATTTTATTATAAAATGTACATTACCACTAAATGAACTTTGATTTTAAAAATCAAATTAGCTTTAGTTGTATTTTATTTTTTACAAATAAAGATAGACTTGTATAAAGGCTACTTTCTTGTTTGCAAATATATGAAAAGTCACCCAACAAATACAAGATTCTGGCTTTTTTAACTTTTAGTTTTTAAAAGATAAACACCAAATTGTATGTACATTTACTGCGACTGTGTGAGCATATGGCTGTGGACTGGAAGAGAGCATTTAAATGAAGTTAATTCTGATGGTGTGAGCGATAAGGCCTGATATCCATCCAGAGTTACCGTTTGCATTGTTCAAGATTATCTGAAACTAGAAAAAAAATAGTTTCTAATGTGACAGTTGATCTTCTGAAATTCAAATTCATTTGTTATCCTTTTTATCACTACCCTATATGGTATTGCCTGTATGGATTGAACTCAGTTTATACTGAACACGTAAGAGGCCCGAGATACATCAGGCCCTCTTCCTGAGCCATTTGGAATCCCAAGTTAGTCCCCCTGTCATTGGCTTAGTGGGTCTCCACACTAACTTGTGTGTGTGTGTGTGAGGAACATCTGGGTAAAGAATTAAATATGATTCTGAGGAAAAATCAGAAGTCACAGAAATTTACAAAGAAAAGCTAGCCCCTCTGTTCTGGATGTGTGCCTTCAGGTGCTCGAATCAATGCTTAGCGGCAACTGGTGGTGGTTTGATTTTCCCATCTTGTAGATTGATAGAAAGTTTAATTGTGGGTGATGAGGCTTTAAGAGTTTGTGTCAGTGACTCTAGCAGCCCAGCTCTTCTCAACAAGTCTGGGAGTCCCTTCCTTACAGGACACTGGAAGTCTTGACTTTGTTTTGTGACAGCTTACCACTTGGTGATGGCGGCAGTTACCTGCGAGTAAAGCACTAACTAGTTGTGCCTCCTAGCTGTAGTAAAATCCCTTCTGTGCTCCTTAAGTGCTCTAATTAGGTGGATGTCTGACCGACTATTAGAAGGTAGATATAAAGAAAATTAATCTGTTAGATTTAACAATTTAAAAGTCTTCAGTATGTAGTAGTCTACCAAGCTCTTCCCTAAAAACAAGTAAGATTTTGATAATATTTTAAAAGATAATATGTTTATCCAGTTATTTTACAAGATGTGATATGTATTTTATAAATTAATATTAAAATTTACTGGAGTTTGTCTTTTATTTACAAGCTGTATTTAAGTGTTTTCTCATTTTAAAAAGCTCTCTTTTGGAAATGGTATTTATTCTAAAACCAGTTTTCTGCATAGAATAAAGTCATTTTCTACTTCATTATAATGATCTCGTTCATTATAATCCCAAGAGATGGACAACAAAGTTATTTAATACAGTATTAGTTGATAACTTAAAATTTTTTCTCAATCGTACAAATAATACATAAATTCATTCTTATTTAAAAAAGGCTAAGTTCCTTTTTTGGTCGCCAAGCACACTTATCCATACTGTACTTTGTTATAAAAAGAAATTTATGTGACTTCAAATAAGAATGACTATAATTTATAATCCAAATTGGGACACTTTTGACAGTGAATGGGTTTGCTATTAATTATGGCAGGAAAACAGGCACAGACTGGAACTGTCTTGGGTAAGTTGTGAGTCACCCTATTAAAGATACTGTAGTATCGTGGCTTTCAAACTTTTTTTAAAAACTGCAACCACAGTAAGGAATGCATTGAACACTGTGATCCAGGACACAGATATGTGTATGGATATATACGTGTGTGTATGTATGTGTATATCCATACACATATATACATACATATCATTGAAAGTTTCACTCTGTGAAACTTCATTACACGAAAAATGCTCTGATTTTCTATTCCATTTTTAAACATGTTTGTTGGAACATCCCAAAACAATTTCAGGATGCACTATTTGAAAAACACTGTGAAGCACTTTGCTTTCCACTTGAGAGATCTGTCGTGGAAAATACTAATATTTCTTTTCCAAAGGGGGGAAGAAAAGCCCTGTGTTAGTGGCTTTCTTTTATTCTGAAATAATTTCAAACCTAGAAAAGAGCTGCATGAAAAGCAGTTTATACCCTTCACCCACATTATGCCCACATTCGCTTTATCTGTCTCCATGTATTTTTTCTTGAAACATTTGAGAATTGGTTGCAGAGATCACAGCCCCTTAACCCCCTAAAGACAAGCATATATTCCCTAAGAACAAGGACATTCTCATACATTCCCTTATACACCCACAGTTCAGTTATCAAATTCAAAACATTTCACAATGATACAATAAGATGATCTAATACACAAATCATACTAGAATCTCACCAATCATCCCCATATTCTTCTTTACAGAAGAATTTTTCCCTAACCCAGGATCCAATCCAGAATCTTGCATCATATTTTGGTGTCACGTCTCTCTGGTCCCCTTTCCTCTGGAAGAGTTTCTTGGCTTTCATAATATTGACATTTTTGAAAAGTAAAGACAAATGCTTTGTTGACTCTTCTTCAGTTTTGGTTTGTCTGTTTCCTCATCATGAGATTCAAGTTATGCATTTTTGGCAAGAATACTACATGTATGATGTTATATCTTCACTGTATCACGTCAGTTTATTTCAATATTGTTGACGTTAAAAACGCTTTCTAATGGGGGAAAACTATTCTTGTATTCTTATGCGTTGTCCATTATTCTAATTATTCTTAAGCTGATAAACATGAATGGGTACTTATGAAAGACATCTGTTTTCAACATCCGTTTGTTCTATTAATTGTTTTCTAATTGAAGAAACAATAGAAAATTGTGACATGGCATAAGTATTCTTGAGTGTCATCTGCTTAACTGCATTTCCGGACCCAGTGATGATTTTCTCGGGCCCTGAGCTGAACAGAAGGAAAACACCCAAACAAAACCTAAGTCACGCGAGTGCTCGTGTTCTTAGTGCTAATTGGAGGCTCCTGCCTTTGGATTCTTTGGATTATGAATAAACCCAACCCCAACTGCTTAACTAAAAAGAGATTTATTGGCTCACATGGCTGAAAAATCAGGGCTAGCAGTTTGGCACACATATCGTCTAACGGCGCTGTCTGTAGAACTTTCTGCAGTGACGGGAATGTCCTGTATTTGCTGTCCAGATGGTAGTCGCTAGCCCACACGTGGCTACTGCATATTTGAGATGTGGCTGGTGCAACTGAGAAACTGAATTTTTAATTTTATGTCATTTTAATTTATTTATTTAAATTGAAATAGCCACATGGGGCTGGTGGCTACTCTATTTTACAGCACAGGCCAGAATCTCTCCATTTCTTGCTTGTCTTTCCTCCGTTTGCTTTTTTCTCAGGCAAATTACCCCCTTGTGGTGGCAAAAATGGCCTCCAGTATCTCCCGTGTACCTTCTGTCATATTAACAACACACCCGGAAGGGAGCCTGTCCTCCCCACTGGTCACAGCCAAAGCCTCGGGGCCAACTCTCTTTGGCCCAAATCTGGACTGGGTTGGTGAGGGGTGGTTCCTCAATGAACAATCGGGGAATCGGGGCGCTGTCACCACAGGAAAGAGGAAGGAGCACATGAGAGGGAGGGGAACACAGTGGTTGTCACTTGCAGCTTTGTCTGTGAAGTATTTGGGGATACATTTTTATAGAGGAGAGTGAAAAGCATAAAGTACTACACAGAAGGTAAATGAGCACAGGGAGCATTCTCCCATCAAAGGAAAATGGGGAAGGTGGAAATTAAATCTGGGGTCTAGTGGCAGTGTTCTGAATTTGAAAGAAAAGTTTAAATCTCATAATAATGACAACATTTGGACTTATGTTTTCAGATATTATTGTTTATTTTGATTTTATTTAACAACTAGTCTGATACAAATCTAAAATATAAGGAATATATAAATCCGATAGAAACTTCAATCTGAAATAGCAGAAAGTTCAGATTTTATTACGTTCAAAATATAGAAATGAGAGAATCATAGGTCTCAGATCAATGGGTAAATTTAACTTCCCAAGGGGCCACAGTGGGCAGGGTGGGAGGGGACTGGTAAACCAGAGTCCCTCTTTACACGCACGCACACAAACACACACACACACACAGAGGCAGAGGCTACTACACTTTGTTGTTGCCATCTGGGTATGTGTGGGCCCAGTGTTGCCAGTTTTTTGAGCTTTTCAGAAGATGTTAGAAATCCAGAATTTCATGTGAAACATCCTGATTTTTGAAACAACTCGTGAGACAGACCAAACGGACCCGGCGCCCCCCGCTGGCCTGCAGGCTGCCCGTTTGCCACCCCTGTCTCGGAAGCTCAGGGACCATAGACTCTCAGTGGCTCTAATTCCTCTGCTGTGAAACCACTCCCTCAAAGGCCGCTGTGAGGATTGAAGGAGGTGATGTGTACAGAGGTTTAGGACTGGGCCTGAGGTTTCGTGAGCACTCAGAGAGTGTTAGCCGTCCTGTCCATTTCTCAGGGAGATGGCTGAAGCCCAAAAGGACTCAGTGACTGGCCCGAGGCGGTCTTCCAGCTCCATCTGACGCCGCAGTGTGGTCCCCAGACAGCAGCATCAGCATCACCCAGAAATGCAGATGCTCCGGCCCCCGCTCCGTTCTACTGCATAGACTCTGCTGCTGGGGCCCGCATCATGCATTTTAACAAGACTTCCTGGGGTACTTCGTATGCACACGAAAGTCCGGGACGTCCTGAAATCCAGCCTGATCTGTATCTCTCCTTTACTCTTCGCAGAACCACTTTAATGAGCGTGGCTTGTAATTTCTTCTACAATTTATGACGATGTATCAAAAGCCTCCGTGTCCTCGTCTTGCACATACTGTAGTGCTAACTCACTTGGCACAAGTAAGCTTCCGTCTCCAGCCCCCTGTGCAGAGGATCCCACTTCCGAAATCAGTATCATCTGATTTATTGGAATTGCAGTTCTGACCAAATACCGTACTTCCCCACA